CCTCAGTAAATCCCTAAAGACAAAATGAAAGTAATATCAAATTATTATGGGCTCTATCATACTATCAATATTTGAGCAAAAACCTCTGCTAAATCAGAAAGCAGTTTGGTTTGAGACAGACATACAACATCCCAAAAACAACAGAATATTTTCTTATGGAAAACTGCAAAACACAGAGGATTTATTAACTAAAATAACACAATGCATCAATTTGTAGAAGTAATGTATATTAAAAACAAGAAATTAAAGTATTTTTGTAATTTCTTTTAAATATAGCCAAACTTATTTAAGAAGTTGTTTATTTTCCCCTGCTGTTTTGCATTTAAAAGAAATAGTAGAATCTGAAGTACATTCTCCATCACCCTGTACATGAAATGAAAAATAACATTAATAGTAATTTGAAATCAAATAAGATATCTAAAAAGAAGTGGAAAATCCATCTGTGCTGTTATTCCATTAAATGAAAATGGAATTATTCCAGGTACTACTGTGGCTATGTCTTCTTTATTTTCACCTTATTTTGGAAAGTTAACAGAGAAATTTCAACTAAGGTGCATAAACCTTTCTGTTCTCAGCTCAACCCCACACCAGGTACTACCTTAGTTTAATAGTTATTGATTTGAGCTATTTCCTTACTACTACCATCCTATCTGTAACATCTCTAAGCAACTGCTTTTAATAAGACAGCCTTAAACAGATGAGGAACTGCCCTGGAAAGGTCAGGCTCAAAATCACCAGTAGAAGGTATACTGCTTTTTTTTCCACGCACTAGCACGCACACATGCATGCATGCACATCCACTCACCCTCACCCACCCACCAACATTAGCTGACTCTTTAAGGTACCCTTTTCCTCATTGGCGGACACAGGATGAAGCTAACAAAACATGGTTTTTGCCAACATTAATTTGTGTGAATAATTTACTGAAACTAAGAAGCATAATCTGAAAATTAATCAATGACTTCAAAGTCAGTCTCCAAGTGTGGGAATTTAATAACTATTAATTTGTAAAGCAAACAAGGGAAATTGTTTTTAAAATCCAGGAAACATAAACTGAAGCTGAGGCCTTTCACAACATCAAGACAAGATAGATGACAACCTGTAACGGTGTATCTTAGGGCTCCATGACTTCAGTTTGGAATTCGGATGCTTGTATTTGCAGTAAATTAAACAAAGCTGAACCCATCTAGAGAAAAAAAACAGCAAATCAAATTATCTTCCTTTTCCCTAAGTGTTATCAATGATGGAGCCTCTTTCTGTTGTGTCATGCAGAGTTACATGCAGGCGTTTCAAATTATGCAACATCTAAGCATCCTATATCATAATCATCGTAAAGGGTAACAATACAGCCCAATGAAAACTCAGTAATATGAGCAAAGATCAAATGGCTGTGCTGCTCTTAATGTTTTCAACAGTAATGAAAGCCTCCAACAAAAGCTAGCCATTTGGCCCATAATATTAAAAAAAAATGGATGGGAAATACATTCACAATGCATATTAAACTATGATAATTTCGGAGTTTCATTTTTTGCTCATAAAATTTTAAAATGTTAATTAGGATTTTATGTTACTTCAGCACATTTAATCTATAATATGCTGCACCTCTTGATAAGCATTTGCTAAAACAGGGCATAAAAATAATTAGTTTCACTTGTAACTTAAAATTCAGACCTGAAAAGCATCAACCTAGAGTATTTTCAGCCTCACTGCTGAAATATTGCTGGCAACACGATTAAAACTAGAAGACTGTAATTAGTCTTCTAGTGAACTAGAACCTTCTGAAGTTCTGGGTGAACTTCAGAAGGTTCAAAGTTTAGTTCAGATAAGCACCCAAAAGTTACCATGTTAGTGCTCCACTACCAAATGCTCATTAAGTGATGCAGCATGTTATGAATCACAACATGCTGAAAGAATATGCAACAGAATCCAAAGCTTAAGTCGTACATTCATACTATGTTGCCAGCATTATTTCCTAAATATTGAGTGCTTATGTGAACCTTATGGAAACTACAGAAGCCCCACAAGGTCAATCACCTCCAAGTAGCATCTTCCCTTTCAAACCCATGCAACCTATCCCATCTTTATTCAAACCACATTCCAATCTCACTATTGCTTCTACTATCATCTAACACACTCCTCCTGCTTTGATCACTAGCTTCCCCTTCCACTTTCTAAACACCT